TATTGTGGTGATGGTGGTGATGATGATGATATTATGTGGTTGGTGGTGATGATGATGATGATGATGGTGATGATGATGATGGTGGTGATGATGATGATGGTGGTGAATGATGATGAACCTGACTGATAATTATAATGAAATAAAAACTTTAAAATGGCTTGATAAAGATATTGGAGAGCATTGAATGATTCAAAATGTCTAACTAGGAAAAAAATATCTAAGAGCATTTCTAAACAAATGGAAAGGCTAAAATGAGCAATACTGCTAGGACATAAAAATAAAATAAAATAAAATAAACGGAAATCTTCACCCCGTTAATAAAAACAAAACAAATATACTAAACTAAATGCAAGACATGACAAAACAATTTTAAAAAATAACATGAAATCTACAAATCATTCTAAAGTGCAATTAGAGGAAAGAGAATAGACCAAAACTCGTTTTAAAAATATCAAACGAAAACCTAAACACACACACACAACACAAGAAAGTCAAAGAAGAATAATAAGAAAAAAAAAAACAAGCGATTACCCCCTCTCCCTCCCCTCCCCCCTAGGTAAGCGGTGCCTGCAGGAATGCACGCTAGGCGCCCCCACCACGCGACAAGGGGCTGCACGCTCGCTTATGAGACATAAAACCCACTATGTGGTAAAGAAGGAGGTGGGGCTTTAATTAACTATTAGAACAGAGCGTCCTTGAAAACTATACACCCCCTCTCCCTCCACGAGAAAAATAAAAGGAAAACAGGTAACTAGGAATAGCTAGCAGCAGTAACTAAAATCAGGAACTAGTAATAACTAATAATAACCGGTAGTATTTGTACTCGTATTAGTGGCAGCAACTACAAGACGAATGTCAAACTCAACAAAATGCCTCAAGAACACATCGATATTGAACCAGGCGAAACAAACAAACAAACAAACACACATACACACACACACACACACACACACACACACACACACACACACACACACACACACACACACACACACACACAAAACCCAGAGGAAGGACCGCCCAAAAACTGATTACTTATGCAATCCTTGACACACAACCCGAGGGAACTCTTATAGGCTCTTCGGCTCGGTTCCAAAAGCTCTTTTAACCTAATCACCGGCGGGTTCGACATGCCTGATGCAATTTGAAACAGTGGGTTTTGAAGGTTTTATGAAGCCTCTGTTGGATGTCTTTGTTTGTCCATTATTATTAATATAAACTAAAGATATAAAACAACCAATTAGTCGAATTGTATTCCTTACCGATAGAGTCATAGGTATGTGAAGGTATTACAAAAAAAAAAAATACCGTTATCAATTTTAAAAACATCATTTCACATTTTATTCTAATAAAGCCACCTCGTGCTCCATTAGGGATGGTTAGTTTCATAACAAGAGAGCAAATTACCTTGTTGCGGGTTAAGCCTGATGAGTCTGCATCTTGTCTTTCATCTATTAACTTTCTAGATAATCAGAGCTCTTTAATTCCATTGTCCAATTTGGAGATCCGGAGCAATACTTCTTGCATATTTTCGAAATTGTGGTGGGAGGGAGGAAAGGGGAGAGGGGTTGTCAACACCACTAATCGAACTTCAATAGTTACATTTGCTCTAAAATAAATATCTGCTTTATCTTAAATTCATAATCTAAGATTAAAGTGGATGATTTTCCATGACGCTCTTTCTCGCAGCGCCATTGGACGAGGCCGATGACAATACAGCTGTTCTTGTTGATCCATCCAGGAAAACGGGAGTAAAACAAGGGAAAAAAGCGAAGTCACGCAATCTTCGGAAAACGTAAACAAAAAACAACGTCTATTTCTCCGGCGAGGAAAACAAAAACACTATCTCTCTATCACCAGTAGGCCTACACGACAACAACACACTCGCTACTCACGGCAGCGAACCACGACTCCAGCACAGCACGATACGGAGAACGCTGATTGGCTGGCGACGATTATCCGTTCCCCACTTGGAGACGGAACAAAGATAATCGCCGAACTGACCAATTGGGTCGTTTACAATGCAGCTGCGGACGATCGTTAGGCAGGGACGACCCATCACCTCAGGCTTGACAACCATAGTCTCGGTACAAAAGCTAAATACATTAGCATTTGTTACGCTGAAAAGACCGCGACTTCGGATAGCGTTTGCTTGATGTATTTATCAAATCTGTTCGTTAGAGGGAAAACGCCCGGGAATTTTACCCAAACATACCATTTTTAGTAGAGATTCGGAAATAAATGTCTTCTTACTTGCATTTGTAAGTTAACTACTGATATTTCTCTATTTATTTCAAAACATTACCATGATCTTCATTACATGCCGGCAAAAGTCTCGTAATTTTATTCAAACCAAATACATCCGAGATGCCACAATCACGACGCCGAAAAAATAACATGCTCAAACACCCGGCGCATCCAGCCCCAAGCACAGACAATTTAATGGTAGCATCTCCCGCCTCCCAACAAAGACAACTACGAGAAGAAAGCAACGAAACGGAATGAAATACTGTATCGCTAGGACTGAGAAAAACACGAAGCACTCGAATTTTATAAATAGAATCCCATTCACATGGCTCCATCCCCACACGAACTTAAAAAAACGAAAAAAAAAAATGAGAGATGGATAGTAGTGAACCCGCAAGAAACGTGGGGTATGGGTTCCTTGGTGCGCCCGCAAGGAAGGAGCCTCCCACCAAACGCCCAGGTGCTCCACAGCGCGCAAGAATTCGATTCATTCCACCTCCCTCAAATAGGCCATTCTGACTATTTGGCCGGCATCTATTGCTTTCGGTCGTTGCAGGATCGCACAGTCGACATTCTCCTTGAAGGACGACGCCGGAAACCATGGAGAGGGACATTTCGCGAAAGAAATGTCCCGTCAAATGATTTCGAAGCGTGTGGGTCTGGGCATTTGAGTGAAGACTAGAACGGCGCGCCACCTCGCTCGCTCTTTTCTTCATTTTCCTTCTTCCTCTCTCCTAATCCGAGTAAAGGTTATCTAGCTCCACTGTTACATTGCTACGCATTTATCATTTTTCTCAAAAAATAATTTCTTAATATTACAAGAGGGAAAACGCGAGAGCGCGGAGACATACCGCAAGAAAGCCAACCTCGCCGGGATGGCAACACAGTGAGGTGGACGGAAACAACAGGAACAAGAGATAGCGTTGATGCTGGATGTACAATAAGAGCATTTTTCTTCATAACAGGAATGCATCTTGGACAAAATCAACGTTAATCAATAATACAAAATTATCCATACGTGGCGATGATATAAATACGGGGCGGTTGAGAGGCAGCCGGGTTGGAAAATCAGAAAAGCTTTCGCAGTCGGAGGAAGTTGGAACGCTGCAGCTTCAGATCCAACATGGAAGTGATCATCATTGGGTGGAACAGCGACATTCTACAAACGCGTCTTCCACAAATATTTATCCCTGCCCACGACATTCATACGCTCCCATTCCTCCATACATTCAGAAATATCACCTAAAGATTTTATGCGGCCATATACAAGTGGTTTGCAGGTTAGGATGACTATGCATTCATACAGTAACTAATTAACGCACGCACGCTACCTCACTACACTCCAACCCTACAAGCGTGTAGCCAATTTTCACCTACAATTTAGTACAATTCATTAATTTCCTTGTTTACAAGAAAACGACGAATTTACAACTGACATTGACACAATAAATCCCAGACAGAAAAACACCTATTGCCAGTTAACAAACAAGTCAGCATCATACAGAGGACGATTATCTGTCCCTTAGTAGCTACACAGGCGTGAAATATAGGACTACAAAAATGCCGTTCCACCCCGAAATTGAAACGGAACACAGCCTGTAAGCAAACAAACGTTGCAAACAGCTCCTCGTAAAGTAGAAGACATGTGACCTCTTCTAATCTACCGTAGAAGCCCGGGAGAGAAGGAGTGTGGTTAGTGTAGGAAGACAAAGATGAGAGCATGGTCGTAGTTGGGTGGTCGGTCGTCCGTTGACTAGGAGAAAATGCGGCATTATGTATATCGCTTTCATACAACATCTAATTGGCACTGAATTAAAGCTATCATGTCCCTTTGTCACCTTGCTACCTCAAGAAGGTGAGCTGGTGGTAACAACCAGAATGAATGGTAAAATTAGACCGTCTATTTCGGTTCCGAAGGATTTTCATCTCCGCAGATAAATTTGTTCGGGTCTGAGAGCATAGATATAGCTATGTGGTCTTTCATGTTTAACAAATACATTTTTTAAAAATCTATTAAATTGGAGTGATAAAATAAAACTGGTTGATAATCGCCACTGAAAGATCTAACATATTTATAACTTCACCCCTGAGCTCTATTTTACTACACTTAATCGCTTGGAAAGTTAATGTGATCAAGCATGCTAAGCCTCCTGGCCTGAATTCCCACATTTACACCTAATTGCTTCTTGAAATATATATATATATATATATATATATATATATATATATATATATATATACATATACGCCGGTACATATAAAGATATACGTATGTATATCTCAGCACCTTTCGCCACCCCCAAAGAATAATAATAAAGTAATAACCCAAATAAATACAGCACAAGATTCTAAATGATAACCTCAATAATATCACAAGACAAGAAGCAAGATTCTGGCCACTGCTATCTTGAATAACAATTCAAGTTGTAATGAGAATTTGTTGAAATTACATTCAGAACACTGCAGTAACTAACAGGGTAGTATACTAAATTTAAGAATTAATCTTAACTACTACACTGTATTATAGGCAAGCAATAAAATCGATTCTCTATAGGAATTTGATTACTACTAATAAAAGCCTATACAGATGGAGAAGCTTTGTAATATTACACTAAAGCATAATCTATTTTTCAAAAAGGGTTCTGAACCATAGCTCACATTGGAATATAACGAAAAAATCAAAAGCCCTGTGTCCAGTGTGATAAACCCGAGACACAAGGGAGATTTCACAAATGGTCTGGCGTTGACTGTACCTTGAGAGTACTTGGCGACGGTCCTGAAAACACCGGAGAGCTGTTGAGAGCAGACATGGGTCATGACTCTCACAAGGTGTTCAGATTGTTCCATCAGCTGCTGCGTCTCCTTCCACACCTTTTCCACGCTGGTGCTTGGGGTCGAGGTCCTCGAGGTCCTCCTTGGGTTCTCATGGCGGTCCCGAAGGAGGCATAAATCCTTCACTACGGTACCGGACGCACCACACATCCTGACTAGCCTAGGCCTTATCTTATATATTTTTTTCCTTTTCCAGCGCTAATCAGGTTTCATAGTTGCACATCATAAATACGGGAGACCAATCACATCGTCCGTGGGTCGTTGGCACATGGAGGACCACATACAAACGGAGGATTTATCTTTTTCTGCTTTTCCTTCTTTGAATAAAAAATGAAAATAAAATTTCCTTGGGCAGGCGAAGTGTAGCCGTTTAAAAAATGGCAAAAAAACAAAACACTCGGAATCAAATGCACAGAAAATCACTTTCCGCCAGACTTTCACAACTTCCAAAAAACCTCTCCGCTGTTAAAACACTCTCGAGTTAATTTCCAGTATACGTATCTCGTATCCTATATTGAGTTGTGCACCATATCCATAATTGTAAAGTAGGCTCCTTACAGTTCTGCGCTAGAAGAGCTGTGGACGGACGAAACGCGCGTACGTCCACTCTCGACCACTACTCAACACATTGTGAGGCCGCGACGAGAGAGCCCGTGGGACCGTGGCGCGCCTAGGCCACCACGGCGACATTCGTGGGCCGCTAATTCATACATCTATTTATTGATGTTCATTGCGTAATATGCGGTATATCTTTTCTTCCGATTTCTGGGTCTCTCTGCACTGCGAAAAATAGCGATGAAGGGATTGGCACACATGGCGAAAAAAGGTACGGGGAATTTTTATGTGCAAGATGCATGAGGAAATCTATTACATGGGGAGGTTCATTGATGAAAATTTCGGCTAGCGTTAGGTAAAATTACAAGGATTCACCAAAAAATTCATATATATCCTGTCTATACAATATACACGTACGTACAACATTACAAACAACCTATACGACCTAAATAAGAATACAATTATTCAAATCGTGGCAAATAATAATTTTATTTCATTTTAAACAAATTATACGAATTCAATAGCCATTTTTTTTTTACCAAGGCCACGTGAAAAGCCTCTTATAATTCACTATCGTTTGGAATCACCACATATGGTCTGAAGCCTCTGTATGACGTAAAGGTTGAATGCGGACGTAATTTTAGAATGCACCTGCTTGCGTTTACTAAACAATTTTTTTTTCTGGAGAAATGTTTTATTCGCGTGGGACTCTAGAGAAGGTCGCTAACTTTAATTGAAACAGAATTCAAAGAACATGGAGGAGAATAAAGTAGGAGAAGTAGGAGAATAACGATAACTACGATATTAGTAATAACAATAATAATAATGATGATGATAATGATAACAATAATAATAACAATGATAATGATAATAATAATGATAATCACGCTGCTACTACTACAACAACAACTACTTGTAATATATAATTAATAATAATAATAATAATAATAATATAATATAATAATAATAATAATAATAATAATAATAATAATAATAATAATAATAATAATAATAATAATAATAATAACAACATGAAAAAAGAAGGAAAAGAAAGACTGACAAGTAAGAAAAAAAGAGAAATAAAAAAGTGATAATAAAAAGAAATAGAGAGCAGAAGAAGGAAAATAATCAGTGCTACCAAGGCCTTGCAGACGGATCGTTGCGCCATAGAAGTTAAAAGAACTTTCTCTGCTACGGTTTTGTCATGCCCACGTGTTGAGTCGGGTCTTGGGATTCGCAATCTCTCTCTCTCTCTCTCTCTTCTCTCTCTCTCTCTCTCTCTCTCTCTCTCTCTCTCTCTCTCTCTCTCTCTCTCTCTCTCTCTTCTTCTCTTCTCTCTCTCTCTCTCTCTCTCTTTCTCTCTCTCTCTCTCTCTTCTCTCTCTCTTCTCTCTCTCTCTCTCTCTCTCTCTCTCTCTCTCTCTCTCTTCTCTCTCTCTCTCTCTGTCTCTCTCTCTCAACTATCTTCTATCTATCTCCATCTCTATCTATCTATATATCTATCTGTCTGTCTGGCTCTCTCTCGTTCTCTCTTCATCTGTCCATCTATCTCTATCTATCGATCTATCTATCTGTCTATCCATCTACCTATTTATCTACCTATTAATCATGTATATATCTATTTATCTTTTATCTATCTATCTGTCTCCCTATCTACCTGGCTATCTGCTTATTCATTCTCTCTATATATTCAAATAGATATTTTTCTTTATCTATTTACCATCAATTACAATTGCTGGTGCTGATGATAGTGATAATAATGATAAGTAAAAGTAATATTAACGATGATCATAATGTCAAGGACTATAACGATAATCATAATAATCCTGCTAATAAATTATAATAATCATACTGAAAATAATAATAATAATAATAATAATAATAATAATAATAATAATAATAATGATAATGATAATAATGACATTAATAAAAATAAAATAATGATGATAATGATGATAATAATAAAAATGATAATAATAATAATAATAATAATAATAATAATAATAATCATAATAATAATAATAACGATAATGATAATAATGATAAAAATAATGATGATAATAATGAGAGTAATAACAAAAATAGTAGCAACAATAACTGTGATAATAGTAACACCAATCAATAGTAACAATAACATTTGAGATAAAGGCCACAGTAACATGATCATTATCTGTTCCACTTATCTGTCCCTCTGTCTATTTATCTTAGTAACAACCTATTTCTCTCATTTTTATCGGCTAATGTGACAGACAAATAGATAGAGGCCTGTGAACGTGTGTGCGTGTGTGTGTGTATAAACAGACGGTACTGTACAAAAAGGACCATTCACAGATATAATGAATCATTGTGAAACATGTCGTAAAGAAGATAAAAAAAGGTTGATAAGAGAGAAAATTGGTTTGAAAAATCGAACGGTTGACGATTCTCAAAGAAAACGGGTATATGGGGGGGATTGCCGGGCTGTTATCGTCACTTCGGAATCATTTTAAATTCTCTTTTATTCTTTTTATCTCTTGATATAGTAACGAGTGCAACCTAAATATTTAGTAATAGTGCTTATTTCTAATAGATATTAATGATGTAGCCAATAATTTACAGTAATAATACTTATTTTTCTAATAAATACACAAGGCCAGAATGAATGTGATTTGAATGTGTAAAAATACGTTTACAAACTCTCATTCGAATATAACGACTTCACGAAAATTTTCCCATCTTAATTTCGAGCTCGCAGACAGACAGACAGACAGACGGTGAGGAAAGTACCATGACTCATTGTTGTCCAAATCTATCCACGAAAATAGATGCTCATATTCTCTCCACACACGTTACGAGATGCGAGTGTGAGAGAGATGATGCAATTCTGCCGCAGCTTCCGAAATAGTTGCACACGTGTCCCGATACGTTTCCTTCCTTTCTTCCTCTCCCCCTCTCTTCTCCCCTTCCTCCGCGCATTTTTTGTGTCTCCAGCGATTAGGGGAAGGGGGAGGGGGTTAGGGTGAGGAGGAGGAGAGGGGGATAAGGAGGAGAGGAGAGGGGAAGAGGAGGAGGGGGAAAATGAGGGAGGGAAAGAGAGGAAATAAGGAGAAGGGAAAAGAGACAGAGGGGATAAGGGGGAAGGGAGGAGAGGAGGAGAGAAAAAAGGGAAGAAGAAGAAGAAGAGGAGAGGGGATAGGAAGAAGAAAAGAAAAGAGGGAAAGTGGGGAAAGAGCAGTAGGAGAAGGGAGGGCGAGAGATTCGCGTCGGCGCAGGGTTGTGACGCAAGTCCTCGGAACTTGTCGCGTTATGTCCTGTTTCCTGTTTCCTGTTTACACTCGCTCGCTGTGACTCTGGTTTATTCTTCTCCCCCTCTCCCCCTTTTTTCTATTATGGTCAGGCTTTAGTCATAATGTTTACATGTTTGAACGCGGAGTCACGGCGCGATTACGGCAGAGAAATTCCAAAATGGCAAACGTTTTTAGCTCGAGGGTCTCGTGAGTTAGGTTAGGCCATCGTGCATAAAGGAATTTCGCTAAATTTATCCTAAAAGAAAGACGCGGGATACGATGACGTCATCTGAGGCATCTTGGTTACATCATTGTTAGTTAATTGAGCGAGAAAAGATTGCGTTGGATATATTCACGTTATAACTGGAAACGTAGATGAGATTGCACACACATATATACATATATAAATATATATATGATATATATATATATATATATATATATATATATATTATATATATTATATACATATATATATATATATATATATATATATATATATATATATACATACATAATATATATATATATATATATATATATATATATATATATATATATATATATATACATATATACACATATATACATACATACATACATATATATGTGTGTGTACACATATATGTCGAGATCATTATTTATTTATCATTTAAAAAGTCCGTTGGTTCTAATTTCAAAATGTATGTACTTCACTGAAACATTTTATATATATTTGCATATCAGTATAACATAAATTAGTGTTTTAACAAATAGACTAAATCACACTAATCATTTTTTTTTATGGCTTGCTTGTTTAAATGTTAACTATTAATTTGGGGGAAAGCAATAAGTTCGTTATTTCAACTTCTCCAGACAGTGGCTTGCTCTTCTCCCATACAGAGCTGTCAAGTGCTGGTATAAAAAGTCGTGTTTTACCCTGATATTATAGGCTAAAATGCTTGATAAGTGGATTAACTTAATTATGGAATCCCTTTGTATTGAACTGTGGTAATTTAGACGGCAGCTTGCTCTTATTTATTAAAGGGAAAGAGAGAGGGAAGTTATGAAGATTAAAAGGAAGGGAATGATTAATTTATGTCCAAGTAAAATCATGTAAATATACTGAGAGAATGGGTGTGAGGGTCTTGATTCCGTCTCATGTATATTTTTATTTTCTCCATGGTAATGATTATTGATATATATAATTAGTAGGCAAACGGAGGGTGTAATATAAAGTTTAGCTTAGGAATCAAATCAAGATAATAGTAGAGAGCATTCCTGGTTTTTCTTATTATAAGTGGAAGATTTACACTGTGATAAGCCACATAATTTTTATTATTTGTTTATAGTATACATAGTTAATGATTATGGATGTTTCTATGCTCATTGTATATCTTGCTGCACACTCAACAGAATAATGAACTCAATCCACCCCATGAGCCTTAAGACCGTTAAAGTCATGCTACCCATATGAAAATTAGGCAAGTCAAAATTGTGTTATTTCTCGAGATTTCCTCTAAATCCACATTCTCGTGTGGTGGCGACACTACCGGGGATTAATAACATCAATTAAATCCATGGTCATGTCGTGGGATGGAAATTTTGAAATGATAGTAAACAAATTAAGAATGTAATGACATCCCGGACATATTGGCAACAGAACAATATATTCAGTAAGAATACATTTAATCAATTTTGCATATGAAAAATTCCGACCTTTACACACACACACACACACATATATGTATATATATATACACACACTCGTATATATACATATATATATGTAATATATGTATATATATGTTAATTTATAAACATG